CAAAGTCTTTCAGAGTCATTAGGTGAACAGAGAGATATTGCTGGGAAGTCCTTTCCAAACGGATGAGGGACTTGAATCCACACTGGGGGATTTATGAGAACTGGGGGCTCTCATTCGGAACCCAGGGGATTTGGGTGAGTGAGGATCCAGGAGCGAGCCATCTGAGCTGAGGGGGGGAGCAAGGCCGGGGCATCCAGTTCTAAATCTCCGACCCTGTGTTGTTTAGTCACATCATCTCTCGGCGTTCTGGGACCCCTCTAAGAGTTTCCCAGAAGGTTCTTCCCTGCAGCAGCAAAGGGAGCCTCCCTAACGCAAGGCCATCCCAGGTGGGGAGAAGCCGCCATCTTCCCTCCCTCCATCCCAACAACAACAAATGTGAGAGCACACTTGGCTTTCCATGCACCCTAGGAGGACGGCAGCTAGGTAAGGACGCGGCACGCCCTGGGTCAGTCATGGCGCTTCTTACTACGTATGTGTCGTAGGTTGTATCCTCCTGAAACAACGTGGACCTTCAACCCGATGCTGTCGTGACCACCGTCATCTGACCCAGGAATCCCAAAGTTCTGCTCCATCATCCCCTTCTACACAAGAGCCTCCCACCCCCATCTTGGATCTGTTTTATACACACACACACACACACACACACACACACACACACACACACGGGCATATATGTGCGTATGTATATGTGTGTGAGTGGGTGTATTTTTCCCTCAACAGAATGGACAGACGGATTGATTGCCTCCATTGCTCTGCAATGATGCCTTTCAGAGGGGCACAATGGAAGAACGTCTGGATTCGGAGTGAGGGCAGCTCGGTTCTCTCTCCAGTTCTCGCTCCATGACCTTGGGTAACGTGTGTCACCTTCCTAGGCCTCAGGACCCTCATCTATAAAATGAGGGGGTTGGATTGAATGCCTCCAAGGCCCTATCCAGCCCTTGATCTCTGATCTCAGTTATTCCAGTTATACCTTCTCTAAGTTTGCTTTAGGTCCCTAAACCTATGTCTGGGAGCGGGGAGAGCGTGGTGTGGAAGAAGGGAATAAGCATTCATTAGGCACCTCCTATGTTCTAGGCACTGTGGCTTTAAGCGCTTTACAAATATTAATTCATTTGATCCTCGGAGCAACTCTGCAAGGCAGGCGCCATCTTATATTTGAAGAAACTGAGGCAGAGCAGAGGGAAGTGATTTTCTCAGTGTCACACTGCTATTAAGGGTCTGAGGCTGCATTTGATCTCAGGTCTTTCTGACTCCAGGCCCAGGGCTCTACCCATTGAGCCACGTAGAGGCCTCTCCATTGGCCAAAGAAAGGAATCATCAGGGGAAATGAAGACAGTATCCGCTCTGTAGCTCTCTATAATATGATGCTGCCTGGCTTTTCAAAAGCCCTCTTCATACTTTCAGACTCTAAATCAATCAGATCTAGAGCAAAGGTTCTTAACCTGGAGTCTATGGACTTACGTTGGAATAACATTTTGACAGCTGCATTTCCATAGAATTGGTTTTCTTGGTATTCCTATGTTTAATATTTGATGCATTTAAAAATATTATTTCGAGGGATCCGTAGGCTTTGCTAGACTGACTGCCCAGTGGGGCCAGGACCAAGTGAATGATAAGAACCCTTGTTTGAGCAGCAGTGCGGTTCAGCGGATAGAGCAGGGGCTTGGAGTCAGGAAGACCCAAGTCCAAATGTCTCCTGTGATACAGTGAGTCCCACTTAGCCTTAATTTCCTGAGCCACAAAATGTGGATACTAGTGCCTACCTCACAAATGCTACCACTTCACACAGTAGGCACTTACACCTTTTCTTCTTCCTTGTTCCCTTCCCACCCATCCTCATTCATACACACACACACACACACACACATGCACACACACACACCTTAAACCTTAAAACCCTACATAAATGTTAATTATTACTATTATTAGCATTAGGGGTGGATTAGGAATAGAGATAGAGTACCAGGCCTGGAGTCAGAAAGACTCATCTTCCTGAGTTCAAATATAGCCTCAGACACTAGCTGTATGACCCTGGACAAGTCACTTAACCCTGTTTGCTTCAGTTTCCTCATCTAGAAAAAAGAATTGGAGAAGGAAATGGCAAACCACTCCAGTATCTTTGCCAGGAAAACCCCAAATGGGGTCATGAAGAGTTGGTCACGGCCGGAGTGTCCAAACAAGAACAAAAGGAATAGGGAATGATTTTGCAATTTTGTTGGTGTATGGAGATCTTGGGCCAACCACCAAAGCTGATAGGCACCTTTTCTATAATTCAAAGACTTTGAACAACAAGAGGCTGAGAGTCACTCAGGATCAAACAGCCATGGTGTGTCAGAGACAGAACTCGAACCCTGGTCTTCCTGGCATCAAGAACTAATTTATGATTAACTTGGTGACTTGAAAATTTCCTTCCTTGACTAGGCACTTGTGATTTTTAATCATTCAAACTGCACTCCTGAATATTTGGCTCCATTGATGTCCTCGGTAGAAATGAACATGGAATCCCATAATATTGGAGTTAGTACCTTGGTGAGAGATTATTGTTTTTAGCCATTTTTCAATCATGTCTGAGTCTTCATGATCTCATTTTGGGGTTTTCTTGGCAGAGATACTGGAATGGTCTGCCATTTCCTTCTCTAGCTCATTTCACAAACGAGGAAACTGAGGTAAACAGGATTAAGTGACTTGCCCAGGGTCACATAGCTAGTGTCTGAGGTTGGATTTGAACTCAGGTCCTCCTGACTCCAGGGCTGGTACTCTATCCACTGTGCCACCTGGCTGCTGAGATCACCCTAAGCCTAGAAGAATTTCCATTTTAAGAGATGTCAGAAAGAATCCTGGTTCTTGGGCTGGGTTGGGCCAGATGGCTGTGGAGGTGCCTTCCAGGTTTCAAATTCAATGATTCTGTAGCTTTCCTCCAGGCCAGAGACACCCATAGGATCACAGGACTCATAGCGAGAAAGGATGTTTTGGGTGATTTAACCTAATGCCCTCGCTTTACACAATCAGCAGCGGCTGCTAAGGGACTTGCGTATGGAATATAACGCAGAAAATATCTGAGGAAAGATTCAAACCCAGCACCTCTTCCTAAAGTCCAGAATGTTGCACTGGGCACCATACGCCTTCTGCTATAGTATGAACTTGACCTGAAGATTCTGAATCTGAGCTCGAGATGAAGATGTCATCGCAATGAATTGATTTCCCCACGTCCACAGCCCAGTTGAGGAACTGGACCTATCCAGAACATGATATGGGAAAGACAGCAGACCTCAGAGCCCAAAGAACACACGTTCAAGCCTCATCTTTAACCCACGTTGGCTGCATGAACTTGGACAAATCATTTAACCCCTCAGAGTCCTAGGCAACTCTCCAAGATTCAGGTTGGAAATCAGGTGATCATTGTTGGGGAGAGTTCCCAATACAAATGAAATTGTGATGCCAGAGCACTGAGCAGTCTGGTCTACCTGCCATCACTGCCCTTCTTGTCTGAAGCTTTTGTTGGACTTGAACAAAACTATCTTTATCTCAAATAGAAAGGACCCTAGGGACCAGCTAGTCCGAAACCTCCCAAGAGGGCTCCCTACCACGATGAAACCTGGGGACCAGAAAAAATAATGCCCAGATCACTGAGATGCTAGCTGACTTGCCCCAAGTCTCTGTTGTCACCACACATCAAGAACCCACCATTTCATCAGGGTGGGAACTCTCTGTACCTGGGCTGAGTGACCCACTTGTCATTTGGGAGAGCTGCTCAAGGCTCAGAGAGAGAATGGGCGACCTGCCCATGGTCACACAGCTAGTAAGTGGCAGACATAGGACTTGACCCCTGGGCTTCCTGACTCCAGGTACAACACACTATTGTCTCTACGACGTAGCTTCTCTCCTTCTCTCCACAGGTCTGTCCGCATATCTGCGGATACAGTGTTTCATGCTCGATGCTGAATTGAATGTAGCAGAATGTCCTACCTAGTTTCAAAGCCCGTTTCAAGTCCTGAGTCTGTAGTGAAATCTCTCCAGAACACCTCCACCACCACCCACCTACGTAACACTAATCTCCTCTCACCTAAACTCATGGAGAGCTCACTGTCTGCATCCTTCATTGGGACCTGACCAGCTGCCTGGGGTTAAAAGGTTGAGTAACTTGCTAGGGTCACATAAAAACCAGTATATGACAGACAGAACTTGAACCCAGATCGTCCTGCCTCCAAGGCCAGTTCACTATCCACTATGCTACAATGTCCCTCCAACCAAGTTTTCCAATAACTTCTAAAAATGTGATTTTTTTTTTTCCTCTGAGGAATCGATGAACCACCATTTATCAGCCCCTAACTATGTGCCAGGCACTGTGCTAAATGCCAGACATTTAAAGACAAAAGTCCCTGCCCTGAAGTTGCTTCCATTCTAATGGAGAGACACATACGTACATAAGCATATATATATAATACACCCGAATGAATAAAAGGTAGATTTGGGAGGGAGGGAATTAGCTGCTTCATGTAAAGGTGATATGTGAGTTGCCTCTGTAAGGTAACCAAAGATTCTGAGAGGTGGAGACATGACTACTGATTCTCTGAATATTGTCCCAGATCTCAACATAAACATAAACTAAGTTAATTTCCAAACACACAGACTATGTGTCCTGCCTGTCCACATTCCATGGCTACATCAGGATAGGATATAAGAGCGGACTTGTAATTTTATTCCCAGGTGAGGAAGGTCCCTCTACCAATGCAGGCTAGTAGCCTACTCTAAGCCATATAGTCTTAGACGGCTGTCCAGAGCACCAAGGCATTAAGAGACTTGCCCAGGGTCACCCAGCTTGAATGTATCAGAGGCAAGATTTGAACCCAGGTTTTTCGTTTCCAAGAAAAGGCTCTCCATGGTCTTTATCATGCAAATTAAATATTCTATGAGATGTGGGATTTTTCTCTCCAATGGCAACTCAAACTATGGAAATTCAACCACAGATTTAATTTTTAATTTAATCTTTTAAAACCTACCTTTCGAGTTCAGCAATTTTCTTGTCTTTATCGTTCTTTTCATTCTCCACCTCCTTGAGGATCTCCAGGAGCCTGTCAACTTCTGCCTGGGCTTTGCCACATTCATCGCGGTAGTAAGATGCCTCTTTGTCCAACTGCTTCATTCGATCTGCAAATTCAGGGTTCATCCTGGAGTCTTCTTCAACATTATGAGCCTTCGACATTACGTTTTTAAGGAATAATCAAGACAACAGTTTAGAATGGTAAGAGGTGGAAATACCGAGGGCCAAACAAGTCAACTTAGGAAATACTAAAAAAAAAAAAAAAAAAAAAAAAAAGGAATGGGGGGAAACACAGGGGGAAAAAAAAAAAAAAATAGAAAAAAAAAAAAAAAAAAAAAAAAAAAAAAAAAAAAGGATTTGGGGTGTCCTGTCGGTTGAAAAAGAAAATGTTGCTAAGTGATAGGAAGCAGACATCCCCTTGTTAGTCTGAAAACAGTGACAGAACCTGGGTTTATACAATTTATTTTTAAGTAGATTTTCCCAAGGGATGGAAGAAGTTTCATTTATACAACTAAAGACATTTGCTTTTATTTGTCCAGTCCTAGACAAAGATGACTTCATTAAATTTCTGCCTCCCACAAGCGAGTCCTACAAACTGTATTCTCATTTTCCCTGTAGAAAAATGTCTATGATTTTGTGCTATTGTTATTTGTCACATATCCAACTAAATTTACAAGTTCCTGGATGTGGAACTTGTAATCAGGTCTTATTTAAACTTGGCATATCCCCTCAGGGCCTAACACAGTGTTTTGCATACGTTAAGTATATGAGAACTTTTTGTTTTGTTGGTATGTACATGGGATTTCATGAGGGTGGGGAGAGAATGCTCAGTGTGGAAGCTCCTTCCTTTAATATAGATTGCCAATCCTCTCCTGTAACATAGTCATAGACGCTGCTGGAGCACATACACATACATTAATGTCTGCTTCCTAAATCACGTGCTCATGGTCACTCAGCCAGTATGCATCAAAAGCAAGATCTGAATTTAAGTCTTTTGATCTCCAAGGCCAATCACCTCTTAACCAATATTGTTTGACTGAGACTGAAAGTGGTTGGTTGGCCACTGAAGATAACCTATCTGGTTTGATAAAATGTAAGCTACTTGTGGGCAGGGACTCTTGCTTCCTTCCCATCTTCCTTCTTTCCCTCTTTCCTTCCTTTCTATTTTCCTTCTTTCTTTCCTTTCTTCCCTCCCTCCTTCCTTTCTTCCATCCTTCTATCCTTCCTTCTTTTCTTTCTTCCTTCCTACATTTCTTCCCTCTCTCCTTCCTTCCTTCCCACCTTCCTTCCCTCCTTCTTTCCTTCCTTCTCTCTCACCTGTCTTTCCTTCCTCCTTTCTTCCCACTCACCTTTCTTCCTTCCTACTTCCTTCCTTCTCTCCCTCCTTTCCTATCTTCCTCCCTTCCTTCCCTCTTACCTTTCTTTCCTCCCCCTTTCCTTCCCGCTCACCTTTCTTCCTTCCTATCTTCCTTCCCTCCCTTTTTCCTTTCCTCCTATCTTCCTTCCCTCCTTCCTTCCCTGACTCTTTCTTTCCTTCTTCTTTGTTTTGTTTTTATACTCCTAGCACCCAATGCAGTGTTTGACACATAGCAGACATTTAAATTAATAAATGCCTGTTTCATTAAATCGAATCGACTTTTGATTCCAATCATTTCAATAGACCATGGTGGTTGAAATGAAGATGCCAATTTTCCATACTAGACTCTTTTGAAAAGTAACCATGAAGGGATTTTCACCTGACATTTAGTCCCATTAATCCTTTTTCTTTTTTTTTTTTTTAATGCCTCAACTGGCCAACCTCAACCTGAAATATCAGAATGATGGAGAAGCACATGAACACAGACCTGCAAACACATGCATCAGTGGGGGACACGTCCACAGACGACAACAGACATCATGAACACGACAAGAATAACATCGCAGGGTTGTTTGCAGCCAAAGCATCCCAATTTTTGGCTGAAATCGTCCCAGACAGATGGCTACAAGGAGGCAGCGCAATGTTTAGCCTACTCCTTGTTTCCAATTATTCCTAAATGACTTCTTCAAAGAGCAGGCAGGAGAAAAACAAGGCATTTAACCACAGTACACATTCAACAGAGGAAGTTCAGAAAACTTTTTTTCCCCTTTAAAATCCATAGAGCAAAACAACAAAACGTTGAGCCATTTGAGAACGTAGGCCATTCTGCTAGCCGATTATGTCCAGCAGGGATGTTGGTTATGTTATGTTTGTTGGAATTTCAAGGGAAGAACAAGGTAAGCAAGCTACAACCAAGAATGGAGTTGGAGGAAACATGCGTGGTTAGAAAAAAAAATCCATACTAATCTACTACTGGGAGAAGGTTGACACTCTTTGCAATGATTTAGTAGAAAAATAAAATTCCGAAACTTAGTATAAACAGAAATAACTCTTGCATTTATAGCAGAAATAATCATTCTTTTAAAAATGAAATTGGTTGCATGTAACATATTATTTAAGCATGAGGATGAGAAAGGAAATAATTTTGCTTTCAAGTTCCATTCCTCTGATGAAAGATCTTGATTTTTCCAGGGATTCAGCTCTGAGTAAAAAGGAGGACAGGGGACCATACAGGCCAAGCATAAAGCATACTCAGGTGATCTTTGGGTTAAAGTGGAAGCTCCTGAGGGGCAAGGAGGGTTTTCTCTTGGCTTCTGTGTCCCCAGAACCTAGCTGGATATCCTGAAAATATTAGGCACCTAGTGTTTTTTGCATTGAGTTGAATCATGCCTCTCATATCGCCAAAAATATACATTTGTGGCTATTTCTCTAACCTACTCTACATGTTGAGTTGAAGTCAAGTATTAGACTTTAAAAAAAATTATCAGGAAATTGTTCATTGGAAGCCTAGTCCTTTGGAAGCCTATTTTTAAATATATTTTTGTAATTAATTTAAAATATTCATCTTAACCTAAAGAAAAAAATGGATATAATTTTCACTTATGTATCCAACACTCTAAATCCCATGAAATTTCTTTTTATGTAGTATATATTTTGAGTATATATTCTGTATAACTCACATGTTTGTATTGTTTCTTCAAGTAAAACATAAAGAACTTTCATTATTATCTTTGTACCCCGGTGCCCAGGATAGTGCCTGGTACATAGGAGGCACTTTATATATATTTGTTGATTGATGGATTGATCTAGTTATGAACTTTGAAATCAAAACTCAGTTAATATCAGAGATGCTTATAACTACAAAGCAGTTAAATTTGGGAAATGCTTTAAAATGGCTAAAAACAGGAGTTATCATTTTAAAATCACCTTCACTTTTAGAATGTGTTAGTAATAGTTATCAATCATAAAATTAAAAAAAAGCTAATACCACAACTCTCTAACCTACCTGGGGTTCATGATTTTTTTTTAATTTTTAGAACTGTATTTCAATATAATCAGATCTTTCATAATCCTGCATATTTTAGTTTGTTCATTTAAAAACATGATTCTGAGAAGTGGTCCATAGACTTCACCTGACTGCCAAAGGGAAATGTCGCAAAATGCCAAATGTCACGAAAAAAAAAAAAGGTTAAGAATCCTCTGATTTAAACAGTTTCCTTAAAAATTTGCCCTGAAAAGGCAAGGGGGAAATTACTATTTTTTATTTTTTGAAAAAAAATTTTAAAAAGGCAGAAATGCATATAAAATGCTTCTAATTAAAATTTAAAGTTATTTTCTCCTGTTTGCTTCTGGGTACCACAGTTATATAGAGGGATAGAGATTGGGTCTATGATTTCATTGACATCAGGAGCTCCTGGGACAGGAAACTCCTTTTATCCATATAGGATTTCTTCAGTGTATATAGTCTCAGAGAGTCCCTTAAGCTCTAATGGTGACTTGACCAAGTTTCCACCATTAGCACATGTAAGGTAAGAGCTAAATTCAGGTCCTTGTGAGTCCAAAGTCAGTTAGGTCTCTTCTCACTAAACCAAGACAGACATATAGCTTTTGGCATAGATATATTTCAGTGGGTCATGTTAAGGGTGGTAACAGGAACTGTTGCGGGTACTGTTTCTCTTGTATGAGCAATGTCTACTAAGAAATCAGCTCTTCTAATGGAAGAGGGAGTATAGTTTGCTGAGTGTGTCTCTGCTAGCTTTTTCTTGCTCAATGATATTTGACTGACTGTAAGCCCTTGCACTCTCAAAAAGCTTCTTAAAATTTTCGAAAGGGCCATAAAAATGATAACCATGAATTTTCTAGCACCTGCCACGAGCACATGGATTCATTCACGAAAAATGGGGAGCATTTCAGATGAGAGGTACCTAGACATTCCCTAATACCCATGAGTTTTGAAACTCCTGAAGAACATCTCAGTGAAAATCAGCTCTCAGATTAAACTCATTGCTTTAACAATGAGTGTAGCCTACAAAAACACCATTTTCCACAGGATGAATATTGGCTTCCCAACTTGGCCAAGCCTAACTGACAGGCACTGGCTGAACTTCACCACGTGTCATCTTGATTGAACTTTGACAATGAGATTCCGAATGGGTTTCATCTGTACTGCTCTTGACTGCCAAGAATCCAGGTGAAAAGGTAAGGGTTAAGAATTACGGTTTAATGGGGCCAATCCCCCTTCCTTTTGGAGATCTCCAGGTTTAAGACTACATTTTTTATTTGGCCTCACCCCCAGTTGCAAGTGCTGAAATGTGCTGCTTCAGATCCTGTTGGCTTCCGGGTTCTCCTTCCTTCCTAGAAATCATCCTCACAGTTTCCTGCCAACATCAGGACCTTTCACCAGTCAAGTCCAAGAGCAAAGGGCATTTTTTTATTTCCTACAGAGATTCCACAATTTTGCCACCTTCTTCCCAATTTGGTATAAAAGTTATCATGGAATCTGATCATCTAAACAGAACATTACGAGTATCTTTCAGTGGTCCTTCCTCATCACTGGTCAAGAATCACAGTCAGGAGAGTACAGGTTTAGAATATGTTTGGGGATTGTTCATTTATAATTTCTAGTAAATAGTTTACCAGGACTCTGAAAGCATTTTTATTTAATGAACCCTAATTGCTGTGAAACAAAGTCCCAACTCACAGGGGACCCCGAGGCCTCTAAATGGGACTCACTCGGAGGAAATAGGAGATTGAATTTTGCTCATTAACTCCTTCAGGGAATGCTTAATCCGGGTAT